TTCCAAAGAACTGCAACAAAAACTACAAAGCTAGAGATGTAAGTTCTTTAAAATTTTCCACCTCTGACACAGTAATCCATGTCAAGAACCTATTCTAATCCTACTTTAAAGATATACTGAGTGTGATATATATCAGTATACTACTTAATGCTAGATTGTCCTGTTAATACAAAAAAAAAAAGCCTGACATTATGTATTCCTAATCAAATCTGTCCTGTTTTTCAAAATATTTGACTTAAAGATAGAATGAATGAGTGATTCCTTTAAGTATTTTTCCTAATACATAGACAGTAGAGTCAACGGAATTCCTGCCCTCAGATACCCGTTTAGAGTATTTCAGTTAAATCAGAATAATAGAGTCCAACAGAACAGATAGCAAAGCCAATATGAATCAAGGTCACTTGTGAGCCTCTCAGAGAAAGAATTCAAGACAAAAGACAGCTCAGAAACCATCTTATCAGTTCCACAATCTCACAGATGAGAAAACTGAAGTTCAAAGAAGTGTCAGATAAGCCAGCAGAAGCCAGAGTAAAGCCTAGATCCCCTGACCCTCCCTTCTCTACTCCTCTGTTTCTCTCTACGGAGAAAAAGGCTTGAGTACTGGGATTCTGAAAAGTGCTAAGGTTCTTTCCCAGGAGATGCAACAAAAGATACTGGGGGAAAAACACACTAATAGCCTAGATATCTAACATCACCAACTTCACCAACTTTATAATGCTAACAATCGTACAACCCTTAAAAAAAAAAAAAAACCGAAAGCTTTTGCCTTTCCAATAAACACATGAACTTGTCTTTAATATGACTGAACCTGTTTGTTTCTTCAGCTCAATCTTAAATATAAATTCTCATTTTTTGTTCAAGCTACACAAGTCTGGATTCATCTTAAAAAATGTAATATTTTGATAACAATGCAAAGCATTAAAATAATAAAACTTGAGACTCAAATATCTGAAAAAAAAAAAAGTTTGGATGAAGGGCTGACAAACTTCAGCTACATGTCAGACAGATCTAACCCAAAAGCTAAGAATGATTTTAACATTTTTAAACACTTGTTAGAACATATGGGCCCACAAAACCTAAGATATTTTCCACCTAACCTTTACTTTAAAAAAAGTATGCTAATCTGTTTTAGGGTATTTACTGAGTACTCACTTTGTGAACAGAACCTATTTTCTTCTATGCCTCCAGTCTAAAGAGCAACAAAGTACAATTCAATGATTTCAAAAGAATTTTATCTATACATTAAACATAATTGAAAAAAATTTTAATCTTTGAGGCACATGCTACAAAACAGTAACATTTTAAAAGCTACTCTTATTCCTCAGACACAGCCTCCATCAGGTCATTTCTCCTGCTCACTCCCTCATCGAACATAGTAAGATGCACTTTTCATATACTTAACAGCTGCTGTGGAGCTGTAGCTCCTTCAGCGCTTCAGGTGTTGCCCTTTAGATACTCAACTCCAAATAAGGAAGACTCAACACACTCTTGACAGCTATGATCAAGGTCTGTTATTTCTGGCCTACCAACCTATCTCTTTCTCTCCTGCTTTTTAACTATCCTATCAGAATAGCTTAAAAAGACAATAATTCCGCCGACACCGCTCACTAGGCTAATCCTCCACCTTGCGGCGCTGGCACACCGGGTTCTTGTCCCGGTCGGGGCACCGGATTCTGTCCCGGTTGCCCCTCTTCCAGGCCAGCTCTCTGCTGTGGCCAGGGAGTGCAGTGGAGGATGGCCCAAGTACTTGGGCCCTGCACCCCATGGGAGACCAGGAGAAGTACCTGGCTCCGCAGCATGCCGGGCGCCGCGGCCATTGGAGGGTGAACCAACGGCAAAGGAAGACCTTTCTCTCTCTCTCTCTCACTGTCCACTCTGTCAAAAAAAAAAACAGGCCGTAATTCCTTAATTGCCTACCTACATGATACACGCTCACAAAAAGAAAATGTTCTTATTAACTAAACCAACACATACCCTTACCATCCTCCTCCCTCCTAACCAGAAAAATCAATGATTACCTTTCATTTACTTGCTTGTTGTCATCGTTCACCCACCTAATCTCTCCTACTTTCCCATCCCAACTAATAAAAAGCCCCTCTCTTTTCAGAACTGATATATTAATTTCTCTTCTATTTTTGCTTTTTTAAAATCCTTTGCCACACTTGAAACATGCAAAAAATTGTAAAACCCTCAAGTTTTAAAAACCTTGAAATTCTTATCAGATTAGCAACTTGTCAACCTCTCTCCTTTGCAGAAGACCAAGTTCATCTATTTCAGTGTGCTAAATACTATTTATTTCCGTCCAGAGGCCTTTTCAAAACAAAATCTACTTCTCATTAAAACTCACCACTTCTTGCTTTTTTAACTTAGAGAGAAAACAACAATACAACAAGCAACAAAATACACAAAATGTCTAGGGATGTGAAAACAGCTTTATAAAGGCAAATTCTGATCTAAACTAAAAAATGCTAAGAAGAAATCGCTTTTAATCAGTCTGTTAAGTTTTCAAATAGCCAAAATAGAAGGCCTACTACATTTGAATTAATTATATGGAATAGAATATATCTTACAGAAATTTGCTAAATTTCAGGCTCTCAAAAATGGTTAGTTTGTTGATTTCAAGAATCCTAGTCTTAACCCTCAAGATATACAAAAGAGAGTAATATACCCTTTTTTTAAAAGATTTATTTTATTTATTTGAAACTCAGAGTTACGCAGAGAGAAGGAGAGGCAGAGAGAGAGAGAGAGAGGTCTTCTATCCACTGGTTCACTCCCCAATTGGCCACAACAGCCAGAGATGCACTGATCTGAAGCCAGGAGTCAGGAACTTCTTCCGGGTCTTCCATTCAAGAGCAGGGGCCCAAGGACTTGGGCCATCTTCTACTGCTTTCCCAGGCCAGAGTAGAGAGCTGGATCGGAAGTGGAGCAGCCGGGATTCGAACCAGCACCCACATGGAATAACAGCACTGCAGGCGGCGGCTTTACCCACTACGCCATAGCATCGGCCACATTATACACATTTTCAAAGATTATATTTATTCCAGAAGAGCTCTAATCATTCAGGTCTAAAGAGTAATGAATGCTACCAAATTTACTCAAATGACAAGAGTCTAAAATATACAACTTCAAAGATCTTTCCAAAAATTCTCAGGCAGAGGCACAGCTGGTTAGGCCACAGCTTATAATGCCAGCATTAGAGTGCTGGTTCCAGTCCCAGGTGCTCTGTGTATAATCCAGCTTCCTGCTAATGCACCTGGAAGGCAGCAGATGATGGCCCAAGTGCCACCTGCCACCTACATGGGAAACCTGAATGGAGTTCCTGACACCTGGTTCAGCCTGGCTGAGATCTGGCTGTTGCAGCCAGTGAACTAGAGGATGGATGAAGGTTACCAACCTCCCCTCCACTCTCTCTCTCTGCCCCTCTCCCTCTCTTCAAATAAATAAACTTTCAAAAATCACTTATGTTTTTAAAATTGCTTTTTTAATTGAATTAGTTTTTCACTTAAGTATTACTTAAGATGGCCCCAAAACATAGAAATGGTCATGAGAGCTATGATAGCCGGCGCCGGGGCTCACTAGGCTAATCCTCCACCTTGCAGCGCCGGCACACCGGGTTCTAGTCCCGGTCGGGGAGCCGGATTCTGTCCCGGTTGCCCCTCTTCCAGGCCAGCTCTCTGCTGTGGCCCGGGAGTGCAGTGGAGGATGGCCCAAGTGCTTGGGCCCTGCACCCCATGGGAGACCAGGAGAAGTACCTGGCTCCTGCCTTCGGATCAGCGTGGTGCACCGGCCGCAGCGCGCCGGCCGCGGCGGCCATTGGAGGGTGAACCAACGACAAAGGAAGACCTTTCTCTCTCTCTCTCTCACTGTCCACTCTGCCTGTCAAAAAAAAAAAAAAAGAAAGAAAGCAAGCAAGCAAGTTATGATAGGGGCTGGCGCTGTGGTATAATGGTTAAAGCCGCCGCCTGCAGTGCCAGCATCTGATACGGGCGCCAGTGCAAGTCCTGGCTGCTCCACTGCCAATCCAGCTCTCCGCTATGGCCTGGGAAGGCAGTGGAGGATGGCCCAAGTCCTTGGGCTCTTGCACCCACGTGGGAGACATGGAGGAAGCACCTGGCTCCTGGCTTCGGATCAGCACAGCTCTGGCCGTTGCAGAGTGAACGTTGGGAGTGAACCAGCAGATGGAAGACCTCTCTCTCTACCTCTCCTTCTCTCTCTGTGTAACTCTGACTTTCAAGTACATATATAAATTAAAAAAAAAAAGCTATGATATACACATACAACATTATGCAGCCATTGAGAATATTTACTAAGAATTTTAAAACATGTTTATATCAATGCTAAGTTAAAAGGGCAGGGCTCAAAATTCTGTATCGATTAAAATCACAGGTATACTTTAAAAACTATTTACAGGGAAAATTATTATAAGGAAATATGCCAAAATATTAACAGGGAAAAGCTTAGGAGGCAGAGAAAGGGTTTTTCTTTATTTTCATGAGGATGACTTTTATAATGAAAAAAAAACATTTAATTTTAAAAGTTCTGTGTAAAGAAATCTTAAAACATTTGCTAACTACTTAGCCTTTCCATTATTAAGTATTCCATTAAACACACATTCCATTCTAGTAAACATGAATCTTATCAACAGAAAAAAAAAAAAAAAAACTAAGTCACCAAGCTACCAATTACACACTTGTTAAGTGACAAAGATGTGTGAAATTTGGAAAAATTGAAAGAAACAGCAAGCTTTCATTGTAGAGCTGATTGTGTTACCATGACAACTGACTTGTTGTAAAATTTAGTTTCCTGCCAGAATCAGAGAAGGTAATCATCCCACCAAAAAAAAAAAAAAAAAGACTCAACATGAACCTCATACCGAAGTTTGTATCTTCCAAACCATACATATGCATGAATCACATAATAAAGGCTGACAGCGTTACGAAGAGCCTTTGTTTACTGTTAAGTGCTCCTCACAAGCAAATAGGAAAATAGTGTGGCCTCACTTGTGAAATATGATTGATTGAAGATTCCATCCTCCGCAGCTGAGAGGCCTGGATATCCAGCATCTGCAGGACATTGTTGGCCAAGGTGTTTATCAGATAGGCAACACTTGCTAAGGACTGGGTGGTGTAGGCTTTGGTTTCTTCTAGGGCACGCTGCTTATCTGCTGACTAGGGGAAAAAACAAACCAATGATCATTAATTCAAAAGCAGCCCATTACCAGATGACTAGCCTACAAGTGTATTCATAAAAATCATGCTGCTGAATCTACACACAAATATTCCAAAAACAAATTATCATTACACATTCACCCAAAACCCACCTATTAATTGAGTTCACTAACAGTTTCATATTAAACACACACATCTTTGTACAGATACACATGAAACCCTTAAGGCATTATTTTAAAAATGAAAGCCAATGGATTTCTGTTAACAAAGAGTTCCCATGTACCCTTTATCCCACTTCCTCCATTATTAACATCTCATATTTGTGTATCTAGCAATTAATGAATCACAATTGGTTTCCTCTATTTTTTTAATCCAAACTCCTTTAATCTATCCCATCCCATCCCAGCCTCTAGTAATCAACATTCTATGTTCAAACTGCACTTTTTTTTAAGCACCTACATAAATAGGAAAGCATGCAGTATTTGTCTGTCTATATCTGGCTTATTTCATTCAACATGAAGTCCTCCAGCTCCATCCATTTTGTTGCAAAGAGCAGGATTTCATTCTTTTCATAGTTGAATAGTGTTTCAATGAGTGTAAAATTATTTATTTGAAAGCCAAAGAGATCTTCCATCTACTGGTTCACTCCCCAAACAACTACAACAGCCAGGGCTGGGGCCAGGCACAGGAGTGCCATCTTTGTTTCCACTTGGGTGGCAGGAAATCCAAGTACTGAGGTCAGCGTGTACTGCCTCGCAGGCACACGAGACGGAAGCTGGATCAGAAGCAAAGGGTAAAGGACTCAGCTCGGGCTCCCAGATATGGAATGTGGACATCCCAGGTAGCGGCTTAATCTGCAGCACCGGGAACAACACCCCCCTCCCCCCCAGTGGATATGTTAAGCAATGGCAGCAAGTATACAGCTTCTCAAAGTCACTGCTAGGAAAGACACCATTAATTAGAATGCTGGCATACTTGCATACTTGTTTCTACTTCCATTTAATTCTTCCTTTCACTCTAACATCTGAAATGTGGCCATGATTTCTGATTAACGCATTACTAAGATAATGATAAACAAAAATGGCACAATGATAATAACAATAAAATAATGAAAGGCTCTTTTTTTTGCAGATTTATTTATTTATTTGAAAGCCAGAGTTATGGAGAAGCAGGAAGAGAGGGGTCTTCCATCCACTGGTTCACTCCCCAACTGGCCACAATGGCCAGAGCTGTGTCAATCAGAAGCCAGAAGCTAGAAGCTTCTTCCAGGTCTCCCACGCGGATGCAGAGGCCCAAGGACTTGGGCCATCTTCCACTGCTTTCCCAGGCCATAGCAGAAAGCTGGATCAGAAGTGGAGCAGCCAGCACCGGCTTTACCCACTACCCCACAGCGCCAGCCTCAAGGCTCTTTTCTCACCAAGAATTTTAAGTGTTATAACTCTATGGGATATAAATTGCCAAGAATCCTAAACCCCACTAGAAACAATAGAAACCCAATAGAAACAACAGACAAAGTGGCTGATTATTTCGAAGTCTGTACATATTCTATGCTGCTAAAACACCATCTTGCCCTAGTTCTGGCTCCGCCGAAAGCACACAAGCCTCTGACCCAGAAACCTTTTATGCTAATATCAGCGCTGCCATTTACTACACTACATCAACTTAGACAATCAGGATGTAAATAAATCCCTGATGTAACCATTATGAGAAGCTGTGACCAAATATGATGATAACTTATAAACCATTTTTTTTTCTTTTTTTCTTTTTTTTTTTTTTTTGACAGGCAGAGTGGACAGTGAGAGAGACAGAGAGAAAGGTCTTCCTTTGCCACTGGTTCACCCTCCAATGGCTGCCGCGGCCGGTGCGCTGCAGCCGGCGCACCGCGCTGATCTGATGGCAGGAGCCAGGTACTTATCCTGGTCTCCCATGGGGTGCAGGGCCCAAGCATTGGGCCATCCTCCACTGCACTCCCTGGCCACAGCAGAGAGCTGGCCTGGAAGAGGGGCAACCGGGACAGAATCCGGCGCCCCGACCGGGACTAGAACCCGGTGTGCCGGCGCCACAGGGCGGAGGATTAGCCTAGTGAGCCGCAGCGCCGGCCTAAACCATTTTCTAAATGTATAAATCGTAATAACTGTCATCTCCTTGAGTGATTTAAAAAAATTATTTGAGGGGAAGAAACACAAAGAGCAATAGAGAGAGGGAGATAGAGAGACTCTATCCATTGGTTCACTCCCCAAATGCCTGCCAAGGCTAAGGCTGGGCCAAGCTGAAGATTGAAGAGCTGGGAATCTAATCCAAGCCTCCCGTGTTGGTGCAGGAACTCAGTTACTTAGCAATCACTTGATGCCTTCCTGGGTCTACAATATCAGGAAGCTGGAGTCAGGAGCTGAAGCTGGGAATCAAATCCAGGTATTTCCATGTGGGACAAGGCCTCTAACCCTGTAATCTGAACCTTCCAATCTCATCTCATCCACAGACTACAGAAATCAGAATCATTTTTCCCCAGCCATTTTTTCCCCAGGATGTGGGAAGTGAAGGTACCAAACTGTTTAGAAGAAGTAGGTAACAATCAAATAATAATTTTAACTTGAGAAAAGTTAAAACTCACTCCCAATTTTTTCCTTTTCTATTCCAATCCTTAATTAATTTTAGGTTTATCAAAGGTTGAATTAACAACAGTTAACTTCAAACTTGAAGATACTTTTAAAAACAACAGCCGGCGCTGGGGCTCACTAGGCTAATCCTCCACCTTGCGGCGCCGGCACACCGGGTTCTTGTCCCGGTTGCCCCTCTTCCAGGCCAGCTCTCTGCTGTGGCCAGGGAGTGCAGCGGAGGATGGCCCAAGTCCTTGGGCCCTGCACCCACATGGGAGACCAGGGGGAGGCAACTGGCTCCTGGCTTCGGATCAGTGCGGTGCGCCAACCGCAGCAGCCACTGGAGGGTGAACCAACGGAAAAAGGAAGACCTTTCTCTCTGTCTCTCTCTCTCTCTCACTGTCCACTCTGCCTGTCCAAAAAAAAAAAAAAAAAAAAAAAAAAAACACCACAACAACATACATTCCAGGATTCCATACACCTACTTTGAAAAGTTATATCTTCCAAACCATACATAACTGCTCATGCCAAGGGATGCTAAAAATTATATTATTAAAATTATGTAAATTAAAACTGCACTTATAAATTTTATCTATAAAACATTTCTTTTTAACATTTAACATGAATATCCTACAGTTAAGGATAACAGAATTTCAGTTCTTCTATTTGCCTAACTTTTTCACACTAGGGCAGCCTAAGCAGATGATTCAAACAAGTTCCACGGATTTTCCAATTTTAATATTATCAGATGGCATCAGTATAATAATTACTATGGGGGCCATATGTTGTGGTGCAGTTTAAAGGCAAGCCACTGCCTGCAATGCCAGCATCTCATATGGGCATCAGTTCAAGTCCCAGCTGCTCCACTTCTGATCTAGCTCCCTGCTAAAGAGCCCAAGAAAGCAGCAGATGGCCCAAGTACTTGAACCCCTCTTACCCACACGAAAGACCCAAATGAAGCTCTTAGCTTCAGCCTAGTACAGGCCCCGCCCCTGCCACTGCAGCCATTTGAGGGGTAAACCAGTGGACAGAAGATGTCTTTCCCTCTAACTCTGCCTTTCAAATAAATAAATCTTGAAGAAAAAAAAAAACTAAGAAAAACTATGAATACTAGATAACTGTTTTCCACAAGATTTAGATATTCTCAAAGAACCAGCAGTTTTCTTTGTATTATCTTTACAATTTCCACAGTAATTATGAGAATACCCCCAAAACGGCTGTGAAAAATGGAATTAAAAGGTAAATCAATTTGGGTACAAAAAACTTGGAAACCCAGTTTTTCCATAATAGACATCTTTTTTTTTTTTTTTAATTTTTGACAGGCAGAATGGACAGTGAGAGAGAGAGACAGAGAGAAAGGTCTTCCTTTGCCACTGGTTCACCCTCCAATGGCCAGCGCATCGCGCTGATCTGAAGCCGGGAGCCAGGTGCTTCTCCTGGTTTACCATGCAGGTGCAGGGCCGAAACACTTGGGCCATCCTCCACTGCACTCCCGGGCCACAGCAGAGAGCTGGCCTGGAAGAGGGGCAACCTGGACAGAACCCGGTGCCCCGACCGGGACTAGAACCCGGTGTGCCGGCGCCACTAGGTGGAAGATTAGCCTATTGAGCCGCGGCGCCGGCCCACAATAGACATCTTATATGAACTTTTTTGAACACTTTACAAAGTTAACAGAATCTCCAAATTGACATTAAAAATTTAAATATTTCTTTATTTGTAAGGCAGAGTGAGAGAGGAGAGAGAAAGGCAGAGTGAGAAAGAGAGAAGGAAATAAATCTTCAATCTGCCAGTTCACTCTCCAACTGCCCAAAACAGCTAGGGCTACGCCAGGCAGAAGCCAGGAACCAGAACTGCATCTGGGTTTCCCACGTGGGTGGAAGAACCCCATGCACTTGGACCACCTTCTGCTGCATTCCCAGGTGCATTAGCAGGAAGCTGGATCAGAAACACAGTAGCTGCAATGCAAACTGGGATGCTAGTGCTGCAAGTAGCAACCCAACTCACTGTACCACAACACTAGCCTCAAACATAACAAAATGTATATAATCTGGAATGACTAAATGATAACTCTAAAACATAAAGCAAATTCAGCACTTCTTATGGTGATAGTAGTAGGCCCAAGTCATGTTCCCAGGAAGGAGTTTCTAGGCTCTTGGCTTCAAAGAGGCCCAGACCTGGCAGTTATAGACATTTAGAGATTGAACCAGCAGAGGGGAAATCTCTTTTGATCTTTTTTCTTTACTTCGTTCCTCCCTTCAGTCTTTCTCTCTCTCCCTTTCTGCCTTTCAAGTGAAAATAAACATTAAATAAATAGCCACAGCACTTTTATCAAAGTTACAGTGCACACTTAGGAAAACAGAGATGTCTCACTGCCCAATCTCCATACAGCTCCTGGTGGCAAAACTCTTGAGGGTGGGCACTCATCCTTCTGCATCTCAAACATGAGCTACGCATCATCTGCTGAAGTACACCTACTTTAAGGTTCCCAGGAACCACAGCTACTTCAATCACATAAAGAATGCAGGAAGGGGGCAGAATGTTTAACAGATTTTTTGGATTTCCAGAAGCTGTGGCACCATCCAAGCTGCTCAGGCCTTATCGCAGTCTCTAAGGAGAAAATTTAAACTTGCTTCTCAACTTGATGTTCTGGGGTTGATGCTGGCAAATAAGAAGGGGAGCCCTACACTCAGGGGCTGGCACTGTGGTACAGGGATTAAGCCACTGTTTGCAACACAAGCAGCCCACATTCAAGTGCCAGTTGGGGTCCCAGCTGCTCTGCTGTGCTCTGCTTCCCATCCAGCTGCTTCCTAATGCACCTGGGAAGGCAGTGGAAGATGGCCCACATATCTGAGCCTCTGCCGCCCATGTAGGAGGAGTCCCACATGAAGTTTCTAGGTTCCTGGCAGTTGCGGACTTTTGGAATCTCTCTCTCAGATATTCTATCCACTGGTTCACTTCCTCTGTTCCTCTATCTTTCAGAAAATAAATAAATCTTAAAACAGAGGAAAGTACTAAGAAATAAGCAACAAAAAAGGGAGTGAAGGGTTAAAAGGCTAAACATGCAATAATAAGTTAGCTCAGCCTACTATGCAATCATTAAAAATGTTGATAGGGGAGCAGGCTTTGAGCCTAACAGTTACGACCCCTGCATCCAACATCAGACTGCTTGAGTTCAATGATGGTTTGGTTCCTGATTCCAGCTTCCCACCAATTCCAACCCTGGGAAGCAGCAGGGAAAGGTTGGGGCCAGCACTGTGGTGTAGTGGGTAAAGCTGCTGCCTGCAGTGCCAGCTTCCCATATGGGCACCGATTTCAGTCCCAGCTGCTCCACTTCTGATCCAGCTCTCTGCTATGGCCTGGGAAAGCAGTGGAAGATGGCCCAAGTCCTTGGGCCCCTGCACCCGCGTGGGAGACCTGGAGGAAGCTCCTGGCTCCTGGCTTCGGATCAGTACAGCTCCAGCCCTTGCGGTCATTTGGGGGGGTGAACCAGAGGATGGAAGACCTCTCCCCTCTTTCTCTGCCTCTCTGTAACTCTGCCTTTCAAATAAATAAATGTTTATATAAAGAAATGTATATATAAAGGACTGGATTCCTGCCACATGGGAGACCTGGATTATTGTCCCAGCTTCTTCCTCTGGCCATGGCCCAGATCGAAGCGTTGCAGGAATTTGGGGAGTGAACCAGCAGATGGAAGCTCTGCCTCTGCCTCTCATATTTATTTCACAGTCACATATTGCTTCACTATGTGTTTATCACTTAAGGAAATGAACTACAAAGAATGAAATGTACAGTATGTATTTAATTATGTAAAAATGTGTCTAACATGAATAGGGAAAAGGGAAAACTTTACATCAGTTAAAGCATTAGGGAAATAAAACAGTAATGCTTTTTCTTCAAAAAAATGTTTGAATGTGATTAAAATATTGTATTATTATAGTAAGCTAAACAAGTTTTAAGAGGTGACATAATACCAAAAGCACAGGCAACAAAGGAAAAAGCTAGGTAAGATGGATTTCCTCAGAATTAAATATCTGTGCAAAGGGCATTCTCCATACAGTGAAAAGACAACCCACAGAATGGGAGAAAAATACTTGCAAATCTGGCAAAGGTTTAACCAGAAATTACCAAAATCTTCTACAAAGCAACAAAAAACAAACCAACTGTAAAATGGGCAAAGGACTTTAATAGACATTTCTCCAATAAGCAAATGAACAATAAGGACACTAAAATGTTCAAGACCATATCATCAGAAATATGCAACTGAAAACTGAGATACTACTTGATACCATTAGAACTGTTATTATTAAAATCCCCAGAAAATAACAAGATTTGGTAAGGATGTAGACAAACTAGAACCTTGTACATCACTGCTAGGAATGCACAATGGAGCAGCCACTTTGGAAAATAGTCAGGCAGTTCCTCAAAAAAATTAAAAACACAGAATCACCATAAGATCCATTTGTAGGCATATAATCAGAAGAAAGCAAGCACTCAACAAGCTACTCATCCATCAATGTCACAGCAGAATTACTTACAACAGTGAAAAGGTAGAAATGGGGGCCAGCGTGTGGCACAGTCAGTAAAGCTGCCGCCTGCAGCACTGTCATCCCATATGGGTGCCGATTTGTATCCAGGCTGCTCTGCTTTCAATCCCACTCCCTGCTAATGGCCTGGAAAAGCAGCAGAAGATGGCCCAAGTGCCTAGGCCCCTGCATTCGCATGGGAAACCTAGCTGAAGCTCCTGGCTTTGGTCTGGCGCAGACCTGGCTGTTGCAGCCACGTGGGGAGTGAAGATGGAAGATCTCTTATCTTTCTGTCTCTCCGCTCTAACTCTGCCTTTCAAGTAAATAAAATAAATCAGAAAGAAAGAGAGATTGAGAGGTCCTAAATGTTGACAGATGAATGGAAAACAGAACGTGGTATTCACATACAACAGACTATTGTTCAGCTTTAAAAAGGAATGAAATTCTGATACCCATTACAACATGGATGAGCCTTAAAAATGTAACATTAAGTGAAATGAGCCAGACGTGAAAGGATAATATTGTGATTCCACTTATATGAGATAATATAGTACATACAAACCCACTAGGACAGAAATTAGAGCTGAAGTGTCTACGGGATGAGAGGGAACAAGGGAAAATTATCATTTAATGGATAGAGAATTTCTGTTTAGGATGATGGAAAAGGTTCTGGAAATGAATAGTAGTGACAGTTTACAAACATCGTGAATGTAATTAACGCCACTGAATTGTACAACTAAAAAAAATAGCAAATTTTATGTTATGTTAAAGTATATTTTATATTCTAGATACGTTACTTATATTTTATAACAAAAACCACCAAGCCAAAAAAAATGATATAATGATAATCTCTTAACAGGGTGTGCATGTGTCTGTTTGTATGTCTGTGTTTGTGTGTGTACATCTATATATACGTATTTTTGACCTCATCCTTTAGATTATGATAATGAAATCAACTGACAACTACATTCATGGTACATGCATTCATGGTATATCATTCACAGTAGATATGATAATTTGGGTAAATAAAATTTTTAAACCTGTAAAACAACTGAAAGCTGCAGTCATTTTCAGGCCACTGGGTCATTGTCACTGTAATGTACAATCTAGGACTGTCCCACTCTACGACCAAATGAAGAATGTAAAAATTTTTGAAATTATCCTTTAGATTTTTTTTCCCTAAGGTTCTCCATTAACACAGTAAATGGAACTCACCAGCATGAACACACTTCTCACAAATCATCAGTGACTGATTTCTAACATTTCTGACAATAAAATCAACAAAAACTACTTTTACTTACCAATGAAGCTTCAACATTATGGTGTTGACACTAAGCACAATACATCAGAAAAGTACTGAAGGAGACACAAATGGCTTACTACACATGTACACATGTAACCTACAAAACAGAATTCACAGAAAAATTGACAAAGAACCCTTTGCTATCTCAAAAGCTAGGAATTCCATAATTATGTGTAAGATCACACTTTTGTGATTCCTATTTATCACTTGCATTTTTTCTAAGGATTTGAAACTAAACTCTTAAGTCTGTTACCATTTAGGTATTACTTGGAACACAAGAGAAATGGACTTGGTGGCATATCTGAGACACATATTTGGGCTCAATAAATTTAGAATTAAATGGGATATATCTGGCATCTTTAAAGTATGGCAACCTAGAGCAATGTTGTACCCATCACACTTCCTAGAAAACAATCTGCAATACAAAGGAGGTGTGCCAAAATGGCTGAACAGGGACAGGCATAGTGCAGTAGGGTAGGCTGACACCTGTAACGCCATCATCTCATATCAGAGTACCAGGTTTGAATCCTGGCTGCCCCACTTCTGATCCAGCTTCCTGCTAATGAGCCTGGGAAGGCAATGGAAGATATCCCAGGTACTTTAGTCACTGCAACCCATGTGGGAGATTAGGATGGAGTTCCTGGCTCCTGGCTTCAGTGTGGCCCATCCCCAGCCACTGTGGCCATTTTGGGAGTAAACCAGCAGATAAAAGATATATATTCTTTCTTTCTTTCTTTCTTCCTCTCTCTCTCTCTCTCACTCCCTCTGTGTGTGTGTGTGTGTGTGTGTCTGTCACTCCTATCATTCTGCTTCCAGATTAAAAAAAAATCTTTATTTAAAAAAAAAAAAAAAAAAAAAAAAAAAAAAAAAAAACGCCAAACAGGGAAAAGCGTTGTGGCACAATAGGTTAAGCCTGCAATGCCAGCATCTCACATGAGTGCTGGTTTGAGTTCTGGCTGCTCCACTTCTGATCCAGCTCCCTGCTACTGGCCTGAGAAAGCAACAGAGAATGGCCCAAGTGTTTGGGCCCTTGCCATCCACATGACTGACTCAGAAGCTCCTGGCTTCAGCCTCGCCCAGCCCTGGGCATTGTAGCCATTTGGTGAGGAAGTCAGCAGACTGAAGATCTCTGTCTTGCCCTCTCTTTTCTCTCTGTAACTCTGCCTTTCAAATAAATAAAATAAACCTTTAAAAAAAAGTGAAGAAAGCATATTTCGATAATTATCTGAAAAATGGCCATAAAAGTAAATAAATAGGCCCACCGCTGTAATACAGGATTAAAGAAAGGCTTGTTTTAGGATGAGACACTGGCACACACCCACACACTGACATCAATGATCCAATGGACGAGAAAGGCTGAGAACACAAGAGAGCTTAAGTGCAGCAACTAAATATTGAAGAAGAGCAGAGAACATGGACTCTAGACCCCAAGTGGAGTCACTGGTCTTTGACAAGAGGGGAAGAAACTTTTGGTGGAAAAGAGAAAATGGAAAAAGTTGCTACAGAAAATAGAAAAGGGCTTGTAGATGTGTAAGGTGGGAAATGAAAGTTAATTCAAGTGGATTTCATGTATGAAGTATGAGGAAAGTAATCACATGAGAATTAAAAGGGCAGAGAAGTTTGGAGACCGGAGACGGATGAAGACACCAGAGTTATTTCAGAGAGTGGAAAATACAGAGGATTAAATGAGATTATGTGTGTTGAAACCTCTGCACAGAACCTGGCACACGGGAAGAGCTCAATAAATGACAGCCCTTTTTATAGTATCTGATCTCCAAATGGACAAAGTTTTCTCAATACAAAGAAATGTTTAAGAAAAACCACTCTCACATCTAAGAGTGATACTATGAAATTTTTAAATCAAAAATTAAACTCAAAATGTTAAAAAATAAACTCATAAATTGAAAGACCTAAATTTAAGATACAGAAAATTAAAAACTTTGACTCAATGAAAAACAGTTATATTGAAAAGACAAGCTACAAATGGGGAAAAATATTTGTAAAATACATATTTGCTAAAGCATTAATACCCAAAATATGCAAGGAACTGTTAAAATTCAGCAACAAGAAAACAAATCAAAAAGCAAACAAAAAAGCTGGCATTGTTGAGTAGCAGGTAAAGCCACCGCCTGTGATGCCAGCATCCCGTACGGGCACTGGTTTGTGTTCTGGGATTTCTGATCCAGCTCCCTAACGGCTTGGGAAAAGCAGTGAAAGATGGCACAAGTGTTTGGGCCCCTGCACTCACATGGAAGATCTGGAAGAAGCTCCTGGCTTTGGCCTCAACCTGGCCCAAGCAATGGCCACTGCAGCCATCTGGAGCGTGACCAGCAGATAAAAGACCTCTGCCTCTCCTAACCACCTTCTAACTCTCACTTTCAAAACAAATAAATCTTTAAAAATAAAAGAAGCAAGCAAAACAACACCAAAGGTATACTAAAGATGGCAAGTAAGCATACAAAGACACTCAACATTACAGTCAGAAAGGCTTTATTGCCAATTAAAATGAGATGTCACTACACACCTAATAGAATCCTAGGCCAAAAATCCCCTGAACTAGTAATACCAAATGGAAAAGCAAGAACTCATCATTGCTCAGGAACACAAAACATTACCACCACTTTAGAAGAGTTCGGCAGTTTCTTGTAACACTAAACTCACTCTTATGATGCAGCAATTAACTTCCTTGGTATTGACCCAGATGAGCTGAAAACATATTATCTACACAAAAATCAACATACAAATATTTACAGCAGCTTTATTCATAATTGCCAAAACTCAGAAGCAACAAAAATTTCCTTCCAAGAGTAAATGCAGAGACCAAACTATGGTATAATATACCAGGGAATAGTATTCAGCAATAAAAAGAAATGAGCTAACAAGCCAGAGAAAGACATAAAGGAATCTGAAGTATATATTGCTAACATTCTGGAAAAGACAAAATTATGGAAACAATACAATGATCATGATTGCCAAGGAATCAGAAATGAACAGGTAGAGCACTGGAATTTTATAACAATACTGTAATGATGGGCATCATCTGTCAAAACCCATGAATATACAACACGAAGAGCAAACCCTCATGTAAACTACAAACTTTAATATCTATCAATATTGGCTCATCAACTATAATAAATGTATGACCCAAGATATCAATACAAGAGAGCAATTTTTTTTTTTTGACAGGCAGAGTGGACAGTGAGAGAGAGAGAGACAGAGAGAAAGGTCTTCCTTTGCCGTTGGTTCACCTTCCAATGGCCTCCAATGGCTGCCGCGGCTGGCGCGCTGCGGCTGGCGCACCGCGCTGATCCGATGGCAGGAGCCATATATAATAACAAAGACAGGGACCAGCACTGTGGTAGATCAGATTAAGCCACCACATACAATGCTGGCATCCCATTGTATGAGCATTGGTTCGAGTCCTGGCTAATCCGCTTCCGACCCAGCTCCCTGCTAATGTGTCTGGGAAAGTGGAAGATGGACCAAGTACTTGGGCCCCTGTCACTCACTTGAGAGACCCAGATAAAGCTCCTGGCTCTTGGCACCAGCCTGGCCCAGCACCAGCCCCAACCCCAGCAGCTGTGACTATTTGGTGAGTGAACCAGCAGATAAATTTCTGTCTCTCCTTTACTCTCTAACTATGCCTTTTAAATAAAATAAAATAAAATAAAATCTTAAAAAATAGTAATAATAATAGGGGCAACAAAATAAGCTTTTTATATTTCCAATCTTCTGTAGGCTTAGTCTAAAAACTAAAGTCTACTTGTCCTCAATGAGTTGTATTATGAGAGTTAACTGTGAAACTGGTTCTCAAATAGTTTTTGTGTGTGTGTGTGTGTGTGTGTGTGCATGTGTGTACAAATTGTTGAAATCTTTACTTAGTACAGAATTGGTCTTCTGTGTACAAAGTCAATTGAAAATAAACCTTAATGGAGAATGGGACTGGGAAGGGGAGAGGGAGGAAGAAGAGGGGTAAGAGTGTGGGTGGGAGGGAGGGTATGGTAGGAAGAATAACCATATTCCTGAGGTTGTACTTATCAAATATGCATTTCTTAAAAAGTAAATAAATTTTAAACCATACAACCAACATAGTTTAAAAACATATATAAATCCATAAGAAAAAACATAAAAGTAAAGCAAATTCATGGGAAAAGGTAAGTAATACACAAGAAAAAACTTTAATTTTCAATTTCAATAGCACAGAAAGATTTCACATTTGAAGCCTGGAATCAACATTCATGGCTCTGCTACTTTTTAGCTGTGTAACCTTGAGCAAGATTTTCAACCTCTAAGCATTTGTCTCTCAAAGCACATAGTTTTTTTTAATAAATCAAAAAAATTTTGAAATGCAGAACTGTGGGCTCAATTCCAGAATCAGAATCAGAATCTAAAATCCAGATTTTAATGACATGTATAGGCAATTTTTATGCCCATTAAAGTTTGCGAAGTCTCCTTTAAGCTTCAGTGTCTTCATCTCTAAAGTGAAGACAGATTTACTCCAAGATTGCTCAAATTAAATAAGGTAAAACATACAAACATTTAGCAATCACCAAAAACTTGACAAATGTTGGTTGTTACAGTGTAGTGGCAACTGAAGAAAAATAAAACAAATTTTTGCAGGTTAATTAAATTACAAAATCTTTTTAAAAAGAGCAATCCAGCCTAGCTAAAACTAAAGTGAGGCAGAAAATCATACACAACTGGTTAACATGTATTCAGGATGCAATCTTTCTGGGAAGCCATTTGGTGAGATTTACTAAGTCTTTAAAGCGTTCAAAATCCGTGAAACCACTTTTAGGAAACTATGCTAAAAAAATTAGAGAAAAGTATAGACAAACATTTTGTTCACATCTGGTCTTTGCAGTTATTTACATAAATATAATAAAATGAACTCTGTACGATATAATCATGAATAATCTTCCCTCACACCCCCAAGCTATATTAGGTCTCATTTTTCTGTTCCTGGATTATGTTACCAGTAGATTTTGTTGCTTTTCTATTAACTCTCAGGTATTAACAGTTTTATTCTCAAACATTAAAATGTTCAGTTCAACCTAAATCAAAACTTCAATTTTCATTCCAATTCCCCAGCTCAGA